TCATTAACCGTTTCCAAGCAGTAGAAATTAAATAATACACAAGAAAAAGTAGAGAAAAGCAAACAATTGACAATGTCTGCATTTGGTAACATCCTTCCTCTGGCATCCCTCCACCTTCCTCTCTACCTTTTTTATTGATACAGCATCTACCATTTCCTAGAAATAGCAACCCCTATGAATGTGAAAGAACTCCTGTACAAAATTTAACATAAACTATCAAATTCTATGCGCCAACATTCTTAAAAGGTTCACGTCTTATTTGTATCAATGGTTTCTTTGAATATACACATTTCATCAGGTAAAGAAACCTTTGGGATTTTATCTTAAAACCACTTACGGACATAATCAAAGATCTGAGTATCAAACAAAGCCACCTATCCATAACACATCCTGTTCACAAAAGTGTCCCAGAAACTCAATATAAACAAAATCCCTCTGTTTATTTCTAGGAGATAATACTGTGGTTTTCCGTATCCAACAGTATGCCTTACATACCCAAGGCAATTATGCTTTCTTCCTCTACTCAAACAGAGCATCTGTTGCTAACAGAACACTGAAGTCCAAGTTACTTTCACGGACAAAAGAGCAACTGGTCAAACTAATCCATTTGCTGACTTGCCACCATCAAGCTTCTGTAAGACTGCCCAGTTAACTTAATCTCTATTGTCAGATTGCATGAATCAGAACTTCCAAACCTCTTTCAAAAAGGATTTCACAATTCTTCTTTGGCACCACCATTTGAAATCATTTATAATAGATAATAAGACAGAAAACATACTTTAAAACTTAAGGATAAAGGTAACAAATGGCTGGATTGAATTAGGAAAATCCTATATAATAAAAGGCTAGTATGCAAATCGACCGAACAGTGGAACAACTGTCACTATGACGCATACTGACCACCAAGGGGCAGATGCTCAATGCAGGAGCTGTCCCCAGTGTTCAGTGAGCTCCAACAGGGGAGTGCCGTTCACCCAGAAGCCGAGCTCATGGCTGGCGAGGGCAGTGGTGGTGGCAGGAGCTTAGTTATTTAGTCACCCCTCACTGACCCCCCTGTAGCACTAAGGAGGTCTGACTGACGGCTTAGGCCTGCTTCCCTAAGCCATCAGTTGGGCATTCCCCAAGGCCTCCTGGTCTGTGAGAGGGCATAGGCTGGACTGAGGGACCCCTCCAACTGTGCACAAATTTCGTGTACCGGGCCTCTAGTAGTTACATAAATTATCAACAAAAGGAGGAAGTGATTTTAAAGGTGAAATCATGAACTTTATAACAATACTAACAGAGTTCTCATGGGTACTAGGTACCAAATGATTTTTAAAAATTAATAGCATACTTACAATAGCCCTTTGAGATAAGAACCATTATTATCTCTATTCTGTAGATGAGGAAACTGAGACACACTGCAAATTACCCATACTCATTCAGCTCATAAATAGAACAGGAGACGTGGCTCCAAAGCCATCCTCTTAATAATTTAAAGCCCAAATCCCAAAGCCTTACAAAAGGTATATATTTAAGCAATCCTCTCTTTTTGCCATTTGCAATATCTAACCATTTTCCTTATACTGCCACTATTTCATTGTAACATTTTATAATAGGAAAGAAAAATCATGCCAGAGATGTATTACTTACTGTCTTATTCAAAGAGAAATAAATATTCAGTTTACCTCATTATTAATTGAAGTTCAATGTGGGGCAAAAGTAGGTTTACAATTGCTTGTATGGAAAATAATACAATAATTAATATATAATAATCTGATCTAATAAATGAGTAATATGCAAATTGACTGTCACTCCAACACATAAAGATGGTCACCGCCATGTGGTCAAAGATGGCTGCCCCATGTGGACACAAGATGGCCACCACAAGATGACCAGCAGGGGAGGGCAGTTGTAGGCGATCAGGCCAGCAGGGGAGGGCAGTTAGAAGGGACCAGGCCTACAGGGGAGGGCAGTTGGGGGACCACAAGTCTGCAGGGGAGGGCAGTTGGGGGCAATCAGGCCTGCAGGGGAGGACAGTTGGTGGGGGGCAGGCATACAGGGGAGGGCAATTAGGGGTGACCAGGCCTGCAGGGGAGTGAAGTTGGGGGGAACCAGATTGGTAAGGGAGGGCAGTTGGGGGTGATCGGGCTGGCAGGGAAGCATTTAAGCGTCAATTAGGATGGCAGAGGAGTGGTTAGGGGGTGATCAGGCTGGCAGGCAGAAGTGGTTAGGGGCAAACAGGCAGGCAGGCACACAAAGCAGTTGGGAGCCAGCAGTTCTGGATTGTGAGAGAGATATTGGAGAGGGTGGAGACTGGGCTGAGGGACCCCCCACCCCAAGCATTAATTTCATGCTCTGGGCCCCTAGTACAAGAATAAACTGTTTCATATAGCCAAAACTGTAAATTTACTTTTGCCCCACCCTGTATATAATTGATTCTGTAGTAATTTATTATAACAATTTATGGTTATAAGTATTAACACCAGATACTCATTTTAAGCTATAAAACAAGAGTTTTTTAACTTAAAAATCTTATTTGATACCACCAATGAAATTCAACACATTTTTAAAAAAATATATGTTTTATTGATTTTTTTACAGAGAGGAAGAGAGAGGGATAGAGAGCCAGAAACATCAATGAGAGAGAATCATCGATTAGCTGCCTCTTGCACACACCCCACCGGGGATGTGCCCACAACCAAGGCACATGCCCCGACCGGAATCGAACCTGGGACCTGACACTCTATCCACTGAGCCAAACCGGTTTCGGCAAATTCAACACATTTTTAATATTGATAAATTGATTATCAAAGTTATCACAAATAGCTATATTTGTACCAGTAAGAAAGAGCAGCTAATTCTTTGCTTCCTCTGGGGAAACCGCACATGGTGACATACCAGGTATGTGTTGGTACTGAGACACATCATGTTTGGAATGAAACTAATTAAGTTCAAATCTTAGCCCTATGGCTAGAGATATGATCTTGCAGGAGACACAATTTCCTTGAGTCCTGATGAAAGTGAGGGATAATGCATGCCCTGGCAAAATAAGGTGATCCATATTAAAATACTTTTTAAAATTATATTTTACAGTCTTAACTGGTTTGGCACAGTGGATAGAGTGTTGGCCTGCGGACTGAAGGGGCCTAGGTTCAATTCTGGTCGGTCAAGGGCATGTACCTTGGTTGCAGGCAAATCCCCAGGAGGAAGTGTGCAGGAGGCAGCTGATTGATGTTTCTCCCTCATGGATGTTTCTAACTCTATCCCTCTCCCTTCCTCTCTGTAAAAAATCAATAAAATATATTTTAAAAAATAAAGTAATAAAATAATATTTTACAGCACATAAGAGTGTTTCAGTGCTTATTTTTAGAAACTTTAAAAACACTGTGTTTTCATAATGAATTCTTTTACCTGCTTTTTACAATGTCCCTACAAAATATTCTTACTTCTACTGCATAGATGAGAAAATAGATTAATCACAGTTAAGTGATTTGCTCCACATCACAGAGCCAGTAAACAGCAGCATGGATCCCAAGTCTCTGGATTCCCAGTCTTTGCCCTTCCATTTGCCCTGAACTAATAATATCTGTTCAGTTAACATACGACTTTTTTCTAAAAAGTTAAATAAGCTGTGAGATGTTTTACAAATTTAGGCAGAGCTGTTTTAAATGTATACATATTCAAAATACACAAGCTGTAGCTTTAAAAAAAAATAGCCATAGAAATAAAAACTGAGTATACCAACCTGAGTTTCAAGCGACAATGAAATCACATTCACTTTTGTGAAATACGCTAACGGCCAACATTTAACACATCCCTCCACTGTCCTCTCATGCCCCTAGTGCTCCTCGAGGAGGTGAGTCCAGGCCATTATAGGTCTTTATAGGTCTTTCCAGCGCTTTCTAGCTAATAATAGAAAAGAATGGCCGCTTGGATATGCCCTTGTTTTCCCCTGCTACATTATTAACAACTGTGTTTCCTTACGGTACTATATTTCAACTACCATCCTCTAACAAAGAGAACAGGGTGGGTTTCTATATAGGGATTATGGGTGAATAGGAACAACTCACTTCTAACTGTATTCAAAACATGGGCTATCTTTAAAAAAAAAAAAAAATTAAAATCTCCTTTCATTGGACCTGCTAGGTCTCTCTATCCTTCCCTTAACTTGTTCGGAAGGTATAAAACAGGCCACAAATCACCACTAAGGTAACAGTGATCAGCAACAGCGAACCGGCCAAGGAGGGTGCGACCGCTGCCCTAACAACTGGGAGTTTTTCCGTCAATTCAGCCACCACACCGGCCGCTGGGACCCGCCGGGGACTCGGCCGCGAGGGGGTGGGGACGTCATCTGGAAGGACGTCTGGTCTAGTTAGCATATCATTATAGATTAGCATGGGTATCGTGGAATAATAAAAAGAACATGGATTTGCAGTCAAATAGAAGTGGTTTCAAATCATAGTTCTACTTCCTAGGTGGGTAACTTCTACGTCTGGTTTTTTTTGTGTTTTTTTTTTAATCTACAAACTACAAACTGAGTAAGATTGGGGGCCCCTAGAGAAGCAAGGGCTGTGCTCGGAGTCCTGGGCCAGACTCGGTGGAGGGAAGGGCACTGGCTGGGCGACAGCAGGTGGACTCCCTGTGCCTTGGTTTCTCCACCTGCTCAGGGGACAACCCTCACCCTCATGCCGGGAGGCCTACAGCGCTGCAGACATTATTGATGGAGACAGAGGGACAGACGCCTCCCTGTTTGCTTTAAGGGGCCGGGGCCCAGGACCCAGTGGAGGGCAGAGGCCGGCCGGGGTCACCGGGCGCGGTCCCCGCAGCCGGGCGGGCGCCCCTTGGCTCCCGCGCCGGGAAGAAAGGTGGGATGGAAGGCTGGATGGCTTCCCCTCCGCGGCCCGGCCCGGCCCGGCCCCGGACCACGAGCCCACCGCCCACCGCACACCGGGCCCGGCGCGCCCCGCCCCGCCCACCCTCCGCCCGGCCCGGCGGGCCCGCGCCCCGTCCTCGCTCACTTTCTGGGAGTCCATGGCCGGAGGCTGAGTCCGCCAGGCCCGAGGCCGCGATCGAGAGCCGCGTGGGGAGGCGAAGGGAGGTCGGACACGCCGGACCGCTAGCCGGGGCGCTGTCCTGGGCCGCGCCGACGCCGCCGCAGCCTCAGCCTCAGCCTCCGCCCGCAGCGCTGCCGCCGGCCCCGCCCGCCGGTCCGCGCCCCGCCCGCGCGCGCGCCGTTGTTGCCGCGGTTGCCAGGGTGAGAGGGCGGCGGCGGGGGGCGGGGCCCGGAGCGCCCGCGCATGCGCGCTGCTGCCGGGCGGCTCAGGTTGGACAGCGCCGGGTACCAGGAGGGAGTGATGGAGAGGAGGGACTGTGCGCCCCTCTGCCCCGCGGGTCCTTTTTAAAAAATATATATTTTATTAATTTCTTTTGACAGAGAGGAAGAGAGAGGGACAGAGAGTCAGAAACATCGTGGAGAGAGAGAGTCATCGATCAGCTGCCTCTTGCACACACACCCTCCCTCCCCCACTGGGGACGTGCCCACAACTAAGGTACATGCCTCTGACAAGAATGGAACCTGGGACCCTTCAGTCCACAAGCCAACGCTCTATCCACTAAGCCAAACCGGTTTTGGCCCGCATGTCCTTTGAAAGAGGCTCTCCTTCCCCGCCTCCCTCCATCCTCTTTCCATCGCTGCAGGCCTTGGAATGGACCAGGGGGAACCGAGCAGCCGGCCCATAGGAGGGATATGGGAGGGAAAGCTCTGGCCCTGGCCTGAGATGGGCCCTCTTCCCATCTTGCACGCCTCCTCACACTGGCGCTGGAGGAGTAGCCGGGCTAGCCCAGGCCCAGCTGTCCAGTGAGAAGGAAAGGGCTGGGATGGGGGTGTAGTGGAGACATGGGAACGGCCTGTAGGGACTTGGCCAAAATGTGGGTAGACCTTTTCCAGAGAACCCCACCCCCACCCCACCCTGGGCACCTCTGCTATTTGTGATTTTTGAGCATGTCACTCTCCCTGAGCCTGATTCACCTTAGGTGAAATAAGAGAAATAATGCTGACTTTAGAAAATTCAACTGGGCAATCACATATGACGAATGAACAAAAGGGAAATGTACACTGAGTGCCTATTAGGTACCAGTTCTATAGCTTACAATCTAGTACGGGAGGCTGAGTCTTTCCTCCTCTCCCCAATTTAAAAGATAATGTGAGGTGGCTAGAGATGTTATATTATAGAAAAAAAAAAAAACACACACACACACTACTATGGGGTGAAATGGGCTCAGAGAATTGAGGGGGCTCCATTTTCCATGGGAAAGTCAGGGAAGGCCTATCTTCCAGGAGTGGCCAGAGTGAAGTGAGAGAATGAACCACCCCCTGAGAAAAGTATTCTAGAAAGAACAGCAAATACAAAGGCCCCAAGAGGGCATGAGATTTATGTTTAAGAAACAGTATTCACTCTACAAGGTTTTGATTATCTCTATACAGGGGTCCCCCTGACTAGACTGATTTCCTTGACGGTGGAGATTACTTTACTGCAATCCTGTCTGTATCTGAAGTACAGAGCCACCAGACATCTAGTATGCACTCAATAAATCCTTTTTAAAATATATTTGTATTGATTTCATAGATGAAGGGAGCGGGATAGAAGCATCAATAATGAGAGAGAATCAGGGATCAGCTGCCTGCTGCACATCCTCACTGGGGATCAAGCCCACGACCAGGGCATAAGCCCCCAATCAGAATCAAACCTGGGATGCCTCAGTACACAGGCTGACGCTCCATCCATTGAGCCACACCGGCCAGGGCTCAGTAAGTCCTCATTTAGCTTAACAGATCTATAGAGGAAATGGGCTAAAGGCACAAAAGGGAAAACAGGAACTTGGCTCAGGGTAGGTGGGTAGTGCTTGAAGGCCAGGATCTCAGAACATAATTTCGTTCCTATAGGAATAATGGCATGCGGTATTGCGGAGAGATGTTCCCTTTTTTGGTACCAAGGGAAAGGAGCTGCCCAGCCCAGCTGACCCAATTCCAGGAATGGTGAGAGCCAGCCAGGCGCCCAGCCACTAGCCACTGCTGCAGCCACGGTGGCCCAGCGCTCCCCGCACTGCGCAAACACTGCAGCCGAGTCAGTTTCCCAGGCGGGAGAAGCACAGCCTAGGAATTGGAGAACTTCAGAGGTCAAACCACCAGACTGTGCGTTCCCCAGATTTGGCCCTGTCGTCTGCCCCTCTGACCACCACTAAGGGGAAGAAACAGCATTTACTGCTGTCTTCAGTTCTCTAGCTGCAAGAACATCTCTTCACTACTGTCAGAGGGCAAGTCTTGGGCACTTTATGACTGATGGGCAGAGAGAGGCTTTGGAGACAGGGAGTCGCAGCTGAAATGTGATCCGCAGGTTCTGTCACAGACCACAGTCCCCGGGAGCTCACTCCTGGCTGCTGGTGTCCTCCCTCCCCTGTTCTTTCCCTCCTGCCCAGGCAAGAGCCTGCAGCTTTTGACAAGAGCTTTACCCCATTTGACTTCTGCCCTTGCCAGATCTCTGTCTCTGTAGCCAGTCTGGCTCCCCTGCTCAGCTCACCCTGGCGTTCTGCGTCCCCTCATTTCCATCCAGGAATAGCTAGTCTCTTCTGGCTGTGCCTTCTCTCCCAACCCATACAGGCTTTCACTCTCCTAGCTGGCCACTGAGCCTGCACCCCCAACCCACTCTCGCTGCTTCTGGTTTATGGGCATGTCCTTTGCCTTTTCTGTACTTACCTTTTCATGGCCAAGTCAGTTTGGAGAAATCTCACAAGTAGCTTTACTACCCTGTTTCCCCCAAAATAAGACAGTGTCTTATATTAATTTTTGCTCCCAAAGATAGGCTAGGTCTTATTTTCAGGGGATGTCTTATTTTTCCATGAAGAAGAATACGGTACACATTTATTGTTAAATGAAAATAAAGGAAATTTATTATCTGTATACGGCACGGTAGTACGGTAGTTGTCAACACAAACCAGACAAACTGTGAATCCTATGGTATCAAGAATTTACTCATTTATTCAATGACAATCATGTCATCATCTTCTGGAACATCATCATAACAATCCAATTCCTGAATTTCCTGGTGAATTTCTTGTGACTCCATTTCTTTCAGAATCAGTGGGCCAAATCTCTCATGTTTAGCAATAGCATTCTGAGACAGAGCTTAGGGGAGCTTTATTTTCGGGGGGATGCCTTACATTTCTCTCAGAAGGAAACCTGTAAGTAGGTCTTATTTTCGGAGGATGTCTTATTTTCGGGGAAACACGGTAATAGACCAAAGCCGTTGTTCTCCAATGCAATCCTATAAGAAGTTGCATCAGCACCACCTGGTAGCTCTCTTAGTGCAAATCCTCAGGCTTCATCTTCAGATGGACTAAATGAGAAACTCTAGGAGTGGGGTAACCATCTGTTTTAACAAGTCCTCCAGTTTGAGAACCAAGCCCAAAACCGGTTTGGCTCAGTGCATAGTTGTGTCACTTTCATCTCTCTGTACCTCAGTTTTCTTATTTGCAAAATGGAAGTTTAACAGTACCCACTTGAAAGTATTGTCATGAGGATAATGACAATGTGTGTGAAGTGCTTGGACTAATGCCTGCCGTGTATCAGTTATCTATTGTTATTTTCTAAAGTAAATCATTGCTTCTCGCCAGGAAGCCATGGTGTCTGCGAGCCCTTTGGCATCGCAATGACTGCTGGTGGGTTCAGATGGTGCCATGTCAGCGCTTCCTAGGGGAGCAAGTGTCTTGAAATCCATCCCCCGTTCTGAAGGTCAATCCGAACCTTTCCCTAGAGGAAAGGTGGTGACAGAATGTGGGCAACAAGGGTAGGATTTACGCCGATGAGAAGGGAAGATGGGACCCAGAGCAAAGGTGGGAAACAGTGAGAACAACCCCAGGGAACGGAGAAGAAATGAATGGAAACAGCACCCTTCAATGCCCAAATGTCAGGGAAGTATTAGGAAAACTTTGGAACATATAAAAGATGAAATACTTTGCAACCATGAAAAATTATCTTTATGAAAAATACATAGCAATGTGGGAGATAGCTTACGATATTACAATTCAAAAACAAAACCTTAGAACTTGTTTTCCGAAATACAATTGGACCACATGTCTATGGCAGAAAAGTAAGTAATACATTCATCCATGTTTCCTTTGTCCATAACTTTTACCATAGGTGAAGTGGCATCATTCCTGAAAGTGTGGCCTGGTTTCCTATGGTCACATCCACCACCTACACATATGACATGTTTCCTTTTCTGCTTACATAGAAAAGAATCAAGAACAAGTACATTGGCTTTGAAATGTAAACTCGAATTTGGCATGACTTTATGATACAAAGAAAAGGATAAAGTGGGGGTGGAGAGCGAGATTAGTACCGGTCAGATTGTTAAGGTCTCTACATTCCAGGTTGGGTTTGGGATCTGAGCATGTGGTAAGTGGGAAGCCACTTACAAGTTGATGAGCAACGAGTTATTTTAGGAAACTTGACTTGGCAGGAGGAAAAGAAAGAATGAGTGGATGTGCCTGGGCTGAGAAGTTGGCTGGGGATCCAGAGGTCCAGACCTCTCCCTTCTACTCCCTGTCCCTTAACCTTCCCTGGTTAGATTCCTCCTCTCCCCATGCCCACTCCACCACCCACCACCATTCGAATACAGTGATTAAAGTAGCATTATAAATCTTTAACTAGTTTTTCAGTCAAATGGGGAAAATATTACATTGACCATAACGAAAACGGTTGGCTTCCTTCCTAAGTCATGGAAAACAGGGATCAGCAAACCGTTTCCGGAAAGGTCCCTAGAGTCAGTATTTTAGGCTTTGCAGGCCATATGGTCTCTTTCACAACTATGCAACTCTGCCATCATAGAGAAAAAGCAGGCATAGACAGGACATACACGATTGGGTGTGCCTGTGTGTCCATAAAACATTATTTACGTTTGGGGCTGGAATTGACTCACAGGTCATAGTTAATCAATCCCTGATCTAAAAGAACATTGTGTTATTTTTCTCAGAAAATAATTCCGTGATTCTTCGATGCCTCTAAAGCAGTGGTTCTCAACCTTTCTAATGCCTCGACCCTTTAATACAGTTTCTCATGTTTTGGTGACACCCAACCATGAAATTATTGTCCTTGCTACTTCATAACTAATTTTGCTACTGTTATGGATTGTAATGTAAATATCTGTGTTTTCCGACAGTCTTAGGCTTTTC